GTGTGTGTGTGTGTGTGTGTGCCCGCGCGCCTGCACGTGCGTGTGTGCGTGTGTAAGAGTATATTATATTGTTATGCGTTTGTGTGTCTGTGTGTGCGTGTGTTTATAAATGTATGAACATCTTAACATTAGTCTCTATTTCATATGAGTGTGGGTCAACTTAAGTTTTAAAACTGTCACTGGTGAAGATTTAGAATTAAATTCCGAAATCTAATCTTCACAGTACAGTCACCTGAACGAGGCTAGACTGTTTTCAGAAATCAAATGAACTACATGTAGATAAAAACGGCAGTGCTAATTATTTGTTATACAAACAAGAAAATGAAATTGGAAAATCTAAAATCTGATCTATTTTCTGAAAAAAAAACTTTCATTAAGTGGAAACTCACAAAAACCCAAGTTCCGTCCTGCTTCCGTAGAATTGCACACCCCAGTGACAGCATCACACGGGCCGAACCTGCACTCACAGCTTTTCTCACAATTGTCTCCAAAAAGTCCATCTGGACAAGAGACAGTCTGGTTACACGACGTTCCCGTCCAGCCATCAGCACAGCCTTGTGGGCACTTCCCTGTCTCTACTTGACATACCAAATCGTTCTTGCAGAAGCACCAGTTCTGGCACTGGAGTCCAAATGTGTTGGAAGGGCACGGCTCAGTAAAGCAGAAGCCTGACTTCTTAGCACACGCGCCTTCGAAAGGACAACGACAGGTGGATTTGCACGAGTCGCCAAACTTTCCATTTGGACAGACCGTGGTCACACAAGAGCCTCCTTTATGACCTTCTGGACACCCATGAGAACAGAAACCGTCGTTTATGGCACATTGCTGACCGTTTGAGCAATAGCAAAATTTGGAGCAGGTCTCGCCGTATCTCCTAAAAGGACACTGTGTTATGTTGCAAGCATCTCCATGCCAACCTGGGAGACAACCCTGTGGGCAATGTCCGGTGTCAATGTTACAAGCTAGGGAACCAGCGCAGTTGCATTGGTACATGCACCTCGGACCAAATCTGTTCCTGTAACAGGGCAAATAGTTACATGACTTAGTCCGATAGACATAGTTGCACATCTTGTAACCGCATTCTATCTTTTTTCCCGGGCACGCAACTAACACCCATTTGCATTTATTAATTTTTGACTCCATGGGGATACAAGTTTCACACAAAGCCCGCTGCTTTGACTTACAATCTATTGTCGCCAGCTTCGTGCTATTGCCATAAATTACGACACAGTCCTGTTTAACGTCGGTTGTTGGGAAACCATCATTCCAAAATGCAGAGTTGATCTCTGCTTCATTGGTCCATTGGTAACCAGCAATTCCTCTACCAGTGGCCCCAACGAACGCCCGCGAGTTTAATGTTGTAAAATGATAACTATCTAAATTGGAGAGTTGAGACATGTCTTGTTGCGTATATATTTTGGCTAACCAACTTCCGTAGTCGATGCATGCCTGTTTGTGAGTTGTGTAATCTTCCATTTCCGTATTGAGAAATAGATACTTCACGCAGGGTTTTCTGCCAGGGCTAGCAGGGGTCTCAATAGTGCAGCCGTGTGCTCTTTTTGCTCTACAGTGTGGAAGATAAATGGATAGCAATAGCAACTGAATAAGCAGAACCTTCTCCCGTGTACATAAGCAGACGGCGCCATGAACAAGTGTTGAACGATTCATATTTTTTTTCTTTTTAAAGCTGGACCTCAGGCGAAATCCCATCACAAGCACATATTTTCAGCTTTACCTCTCGTAAACAATTGCCATAATCATACATACAGGTGGAACGATTCTCAGAAAGATACATCTTTGATTTACGTCACTCCTTCAAACATCCGTTCAATGATGCACACTTTTTTTTAAACAAATAATCTGTCATTGACGTTAGAGTTATTATAGACGTTTACTATTGATAGTGATAGTATCTAGATCTAGATCTAGATCTATTATCTATTTGTGGTTGCCGAATTTTGCTATTCAAAAGGCTTTTTAATGGCTGCATCGATCGACATGCGGTTTTCGCCAAAAGATTCTTTAAAATATTCTCCAGATAATGGCACCCTTCGTTTTTGCGGTTTTGATACAGTTTTGCTGCAAAAAGCAAAATTTCTTTATTTCGCCGATCGTTTTGGTGGGCCGACGCTACTGCCTCTGTAATTTTAGAAAATCCGCCAGGTTTGTTTATTTCAAGTCGTACTTCCGTTCGATACTATCGCGCATTGTCGCGCAATACTGAGCACTATTTTTAGTGTGCGACCCGTAACTCTTGTTTTCTTTTTTTAATTGGTGCTAAATTCGACTGTGATCCTTTCGTTTGATGCCCATCATCACTTTTTCTGAACTCTTTTGTCAAATTCTTGTTTTTGCTACTGGGAACAATCAACACGTTTCTGTACAACCACGACAGTCTATGCATCTATTATATATTTGGCAACTTGGAAACACACGTGCCACTTTTCTCTCAAGATGTATTACTCCATTCCAGTGGAGTGTAAACATTATAGTAGACCAGTGATATTCAGTAGATGTTAATGCACCGATCATTCCTGTCATCGAAAGGGGGCCCAGCTTGTCTTATTATAATAGAGCTAAGCCCGTTTGTGGGGTCAATTAAAACTTTTTATACAGGAGCCTATAAAATCTACAAAAATATGATTCAGACAAAAATTGTCCCAAAGAGTTACGTGGGCATGTTTTCAAAGTTCGGAAACTACCTTTTGATTTCTCAGGTTCGAAAATTTTTTCCTGTAAATCGAAGCTCTCAGATGTTTTCACTCTGCCCTTAGCCATTTCATATTTTTCTGGGGACTACTTCCGTTCAGTTTGCGCTTCATCGTTTGTGAGACAATTAATTCTATTATTTCCTGATCTAGAATCTTGATATCCAACTCTGTTTGGATGAGTGCTTTACAGTGTTGATGGATACTTCAGGCCAAACTTGGTTGTATTGACTTTTTTTTAAAGATACATTTGGTGTAGTCATGTCCCCAACACGTTGAGTTCGTTTAAACCCGCAAAATGTTTACTTCGTTGTATTGACGTTTTCAAAATTTGGCGCGTATTTTGGTGCGTAGTATTTTATAGAGCAAGACTCTAGAGCTAGGTCTCTCTATATCCTAGATGTATTTAGAGCACATAATTCAAGACTGAATTTGGAGTAGTTAGCAAGACCAGAAGTGCGGTTTGTGCTTTGTCTCGTGCGTGCCAAAGTTTTTTACTTCGTGTTTACGAAACCGTTTCTACTGTTTCCAGATCTAGAATCTCGATAGGCCTATCTAACTCTATTTGGGTGTGTGCTTCGCACAGTCGATTTGTACTTCAGGCCAAACTTCATTGTATTGGCGTTTTTAAAAAATACATTTGGTGAAGTCATGTCCCCAACACGTTGAGTTTGTTTAAACCCACACAATGTTCACTTCGTTGTGTTGACGTTTTCAAATTTTGGAGCGTATTTTCTGCATAGCTTTTTATAGAGCAAAGTAGGTCTCTATATCCTAGATGTATTTGGAGCACAGAAAATGTCAATCTTGATCCAGATCTGTTCAGAATAAAGATGCCCATGGAATGTTAGTTAATAATGTAGGAAGATGCCCCCCTAAACGTAGAGTTAGAGGTGAGAGAGAGATGAAACGGAGAAATGCGACTATCAATCAGAATTTACGTTCTGATAGTCAGAATCTGGAGGACCTTGAGCGTGCTAGGCCAAGAAAGAATGGGCCAACGTTAGTCTTTGCGTGCTACGCACAGTCCTTTAGTGAAGCTGAAGTTGATCGGAGAGAACGGACACATGACTATAGAGAATTGTGTCGTATGTGAACATTGCAATGTCATAAGATGGACAGAAGAGCGAAACACATTCTGCTGTCAAAATGGTAAATTTAGTCAATTTGTACCTGCCGCGCCCCTTCAGGAACTAATAAAGTGTTGCGATGTAACACAGAGCGGCAGCTCTTTCTTACCACACTGTAGGTCATACAATGATGCTCTCGCCCTTGCTTCAATTGGGTGCTGTGAACAAGCTGAACAGGGCTTCAATCCAACCTTTAAAATCAAGGGTAAGCATTTTATCCTATCCCTATACATGTGTATCACAGTTCGTGGAACAGGTCTATATCTTGTACATATAATAGTAATATTTTATTGAAATATGAGACCATGGAGAACAATCAACTCTCCAGATATATACAAACATTCTAATTTAATTTAGTAAGAATTTTACGACGCACGCGCCTGCTTAAAGTCATATGAGAGCGCGAAAGACAAGTTGGTTGCTTTCGCGACAGTTCTTAGCACAACATAATTTTAGTCAATGATCAAATTGAAATAAAGGATCTCACAGTATTAATAGTACAAATCTATAGAAAAAATGTATTGAGATTTGCGATTATAAATTCCACTATATTCCAACTGGATTCTTACTCGTATCGAGCATAGCCATTGAGATTGGACACCTCACGTTATGAGACAGGTCGGCTATCAGTAACTGGCGTTTGTCACGGTGTAGCGTTTATTAAATAATAAGATAAGATAAAATAAGATACATCTTTATTTTTATTGTCCTGGCACTTTGGTTTGATGTTTCACCACGTAGAAACACACACACACACACACACACACACACACACACACACACACACACACACACACACACACTCACACACACACACACACTCTCTCTCTTCCCTCACACATCCTCTCTTCCACACACATGGGTGCACATAACCATAATAATACAATAGTATGCTTGCACTCACAGTCACATGCATAATATTAAGTGATCAGTAATTATGAATATTAATAGTGCTAAGCTAAATACGTACTCAGTATTCTGATTGTAACTCAACGGTATTCTGATATCGTATGCTTTAAAGGCCATAGGAATACTTATAATATTGAGATGATTAGTATGGTAGATGTTTAATGGATGATGGCAAAGGTGACTTCTGTATCTTACTTTGTTACAGATCCGAACCCTAGGTGTTTTACTTCTGGTTGATATTTTTATTTAAGGGAACAAGGGATTTTCATTCATGTAATGAAAAAGATGGAACAATTTTTTGAGTGCAAGCGATAATGTACATGTATAAATCCCTGCCTTCTTATTCTCAGATAAGGGGTTCATTTTAAACTTTAATTTTCTTTTTCTCTGCACTGTTTTCATTGCAAACCTACATTTTAGTCTAGAAAATAACACCCTTGAGGATGGAGCATCCGTTGTTTTGTCATCGGCATTGTTTGATTTCCTCTTCAGATTTGTGTCTATCTTCGTTTTTCTCCATTCCATACACCCTGCCCTATGGTCTCTGAAAATCTGGTTTCCTTTCCCTTTGTTCTTTGTCTTTGATGCTGTTCTGCTTTTCATACACTCTCTTCCCTGGGTTCTTGTTTCGCCTCTCTCTGTCTCTCCTTTATTACTTTTTTCCAGAAGGAGTCAGCTTTGCCTCGGGGAGGGGGGGGGGATAGCAAGTGTTTATAAAAAGTCATGTTTGAGAAATCAACTATCAATAAGGTCTACCCTTCATACAATTAATCTAGATGTAGCATACGTGGCATAGTGCTGAGGTCAACTAAGCTTAGCTGATTTCCTGTGTGACAAATTTTCTGCGAAGAAGATTCTTATTTTCTTACTTCCACTTACATCTACGTCTCTGCAACAATGCGAAATGCACTTCTAAATCTGCAACTAAATAAAAGATCTAGAACTAGACGTACATTTTAAAAACTCTTATGTTAAATTGGTAAAATGGTACAGGTTTAACGCCCGTAAAAGGTGATTTCAGAGGTGGGACGATCTTAGAGTTTAACGTCCTCTCAGAAAGGATGGAGCCAAATTATGGGAAATTTGTGTAAAGTGTCTTTCTCAAGGACACAATTTAGGACCAAGCTGAGGCTCGAACCCTTAAACCCACCATATCACGATTACTTAGGACTCTTCCTTAACATTTATCAACATAGAAGGTTCTAGACTTCGGTGGAACAAAAGGAGGTTGCATTATTATTATCTTCTATGTAGAAAAAATGGAAGGTTTTGTCTTTCTTTTTACACTGTTGTTCCCTCGCTATTGGTCTCAATTCCATCCTGTTACCTATATTAAAGAATCACAATACAGGAGTTTGTTGAAAAAGTAAAAACACATCATTCATATAATAACTATTATGGGGTTTTTTTGTGCTTAAATGACCCACTTTCAACCCGAACTTTGGTCAGTTTAGCTATTTGACACGTACCCCTCCTTCCTACTATCTTGTATACTCTCTTGTTACTCCCAGTTCCTTCCTGTTACTCAAAGATAAAAAATACAATTCTGGTGTACTGTTGAAAAATCCCAAACATGCCTTTAGTTTTAACCTCTTTCATTTATTCTATTTAGCTTGGACTTTTGCACTATTTTGCGTCATCGTTCACTACAGTGCGGCACATGAAACGAAACATGTAGATTTTCTTACTCTGAATATAATTTGAAGAATAATTTTTGCTTATGACAAATTAAGCGTCTCTTTTGCTGAGTTTCCCGGTATGAACTGTTCTCTTATTGTCAACGACCAAGACTATATAAAATTAGTTTAAGTTGTTGGGGGTCTTTTATTTTAGATATTACTCAAGCAACATGCTTTAGTAAAATACTAATGTCAACTTTTTCATGTAACCACCAAAGGACTCCCAATGCGTCCTTCTATCATTACCTAACAGGGAAACGTGCTGGGTACATTGTATTAGAAATTTTACGGGCAGCGAACTGAGTAAGTTCATAGGATACGTTCTTTGTTTGTTTTTTAGCTGAATGATATCAAATTAATAGAATGATGTGGACTTTTCATTGATATGTGTGACATCGTGGTTAAACCAGTTACTGATGAATTTGAAGAGACCAACATTCTAAAGGACTTTCGTTACGGAAGTCCTCCCCAACATTCTTTCGTCCATTTTGACAAGTTTTATCGAATTTTTGTTTTGTTTTGGGTTTGCTTGGTTTTACTTGGTTTCTTTCGTCCTCAATACCTCTTATGTCCATTTAAGAACACATTAACGTATGGATTAAAAGTAAAGTTGTTGCCGCATCCGATCTGGACATTGGGGATTGCCTTGTTAGGGAGACAACTTCCTGGGCCTTCGGCATATTATTTTGGTAGGGTGGCCAGTTCCTTTCTTCCTTTACTTCCCTAACTCGAAGTCAGTTATCCATTACTGCTGGGTGGGCAGGAGGGGGCGAAAAAAATCCAGGTCCGAACCGAGGCTTCAACCGCTTTCTACTTCGGACGCGAGCGCGGAGACGTTGATTAGAGGCACAAGAAAGTAGGTATTGACAACCCCAGTTTTCACCATGTCGTGAAACATATTATGGGCTTTCGGGGGATATGAAAAGGAGAACAACAGAAGTTGGGTCTTTCTTCTGTCTTGCTCACTTGATTAACAGCGGGTTTCCCACGCCCACCCCAGACCACCTTTTTCCAGAATCAAAAGACCAAAGAAGCACACTTACAAAGTAACATTAGATAATGTCCCCATATGTTAATGTTTGTTTTCCGTGAATGAGCTCAAAACATGGAAAACAGATCATGAGCTTTGTGTTTTTCACATATCCCACCTTGTACACTTTAAGCTTCTAGTTTCTTATTTATTATTTATTGATTTTTCGGCCCCGGTTAAGCTAAGGAAAGTTGAATTAACAGCCTCTTGTGAGTGCAAGAATTAATCTTCGCTTACTTATGCTGGATTATTACTCGAAAGAAGGGCCAATCTTTAATCCGTCAGTATAGCTATGCAAGATAATATTTTGTAAATGATTTCATGTGATTAGGCATAATGTATGCAAAATAACAATAACATCCGTCAGCTCGAGCACCCGTTTTCCTTTGATACGTGGTATAAAATCTAGCTGAAGTAAAATTCTTGGTAACTGCATTTACAGCCCATGTTTGAGTGATAGCAGACGATCAGGATTTGAAGTGGGGAAAGGGAATAAGAGATGGAAGAAGTTGGAGGAAGAAGTGGGGAGTGCAATTTTGAAGAAGCAGAAGTTGTATCCCTAAAACTACACTATTTAGGCCATTTAGGAGCCCGGCTGCCTCGTCCCTGCCGGTTAGGACCAACTTGAAAAGAGAGGAATACAGGGGGTGGGGGGGTGGCGAAGTATTGGGTGGGGTTACAAGCGTTTATGTTAAGGAAATGTTCGAGGTATATATAGGAATACAAACAAGAGGGGAAATATAGTGGTAAGGAGGAATGGACAAATCAAAAGATGAAAAAGCGAAAGCAAAAAAGTAACCGAGAAATACTAATATATTAGTAGAACTTTAGTATCTAAGGGAGGAAGAACCGCGTCGTGATAAAGATGAGACACTTGGTATTTTTCTTCTTCTTCTTCTTCTTCTTCTTCTTCTTCTTCTTCTTCTTCTTCTTCTTCTTCTTCTTCTTCTTCTTCTTCTTCGCTCCCAGCAACCCCCCTCCCCCCCACTAGTAGCACCGTGAAGACTTTACCTGTTAATAATATCTGTTTTCTTAGACGTTTTAAATAGATACAATTGTTAATTTAAGCGTTAATTAGTGCTCGGAATCATGTTAAACGCTAATATTTACAAATTAATCATGTATGGGAATGTAAAATGTAGGTGCTTTAATCATGAACAGGATTTCATAAAATGCAGGCGCTTTACGCATCCATCGGCACACTTAAAAACATTTGAGAGGCAGACTTCGATCATGTCTGCCAGGTTCAACCCAGACTGAAAGGGACAAAACACCTCAGCATTAAAAACCCGATATATTCGATGAAAATTCTCCCTTTTCGGGAATCATACTTGGGTCTCCTGCGTGCACGGCGAAACGCCTAACCGTTACACCACAGGTGCTGTTACATGTACAGTTGAGAAAGCTGATCACAGAAATGCTCGTTCCGACCCGGGTGTGGATTACACATCCAGACAAGGAAGTAGGAGCATCTGATTCTGAACTAGTTTAGATATGAAGAAGCAAGTCTGAGAGCAAACAATGTCGTTATTATTATGTCAACGGAAGGCCGATTACGTTGCATAATGACGGATCTGCAGAAGACAAATTTTGCTAAGGCATTTTTTGCAATCAGTCTATTTTTTCATGTTTGCCGTTGTGCAAGGTATGTATTTTACATAAGTGCATCTGGTTTTTAAGTAGTCTGAAACCGACTTCAAGTTACTTACCTGATATACACAACGAATAGTTCATAACAATCCTTCAGAATTGATTTTTACAAATCATGACAGTTTGGCAGTTTACCCTTCTGTTCATTCCAAAATGTTGGACCAAATGTAGGGCTCCAGGATAAAAGAATAGAATTCATTGCTACATTTCCCCATGTTAAAAAAATTGTAATGCATGTAAATCAAGGCAACAATGGTTTCATTCAACATCACTCGTTAATGAAATATTGTATAGGCAATGTGTCTGTGTGTCTGGGGGTCAGGGGATTGCTTTGAAGGTGTTGGATATTTTTCCTGCTCCAGGTTCAGAATCCAGAACTCACTGTATTGATTGTTGATGAGTGTGCTGCGGGAACAGGCTCTACATGCCGGGGTTTTGTTTTGAAGTGCTCTTTGAACCTCCTGTTGATGAAGCCATGTGGGAGCTGCTTTCTATTTCTGAGCTCTTACAATATTTATATAAATATATAT